ACACATCAAAACCCAGTGAGATATAAGAAGGCAGTGTAAGCAAATCAGTCTTTTTTCTATAGGAAAAAAAGTTGTCCTATTACCTTTCCCTAAACAAGGAAGGAGAGTGGAGTCTAAAGTAGCTGAGCATACCATAGTTTAAAACCAAACAAAGAACATAAGTTATTCTGGGGAATTTACTCTTTTTCTTCTTTTTTGATGACCTGTTGAATACGAACCCTGAGGAGGGCTAAAAAGGACAGCAATAGTGCCTTCTTGCTGCAACACAGAAACATGCTCAGGCTAAAAGCATCACTTATTCAGGTAATGAATATTGGGGATGGCAAAACCCCAACATAGTGGGCATTGAATGTCTATTTATTTCTTTATCATAGTTGAAATGTCATAGAACACCAACAAAAAAGAATGAATGTATTTGGAAACCTTTCAAATTCCATTGTTTTATGTTTTTTTCATGTAGGAATATGTTTATTGGTTTTCCTTTTATAGATTTTGGCTGCGAAAACATCTCTGAATTTTAGTTCCCTCATCTAACAGAGAAAAATGCTTTTTTTTTTTTTAATGTGTTATAAATATAAATGTCTGTTTGTGGTTTTCAAGCCTATTTCTAGGCTGATGCATGAATTTGTAGAAAAACTGTCAAAACGTGTACAACTCCTTTAGAAGAGAAGCACACTATGAATTGTGAAAGACTGACTGAACTGGAGGCTGTATCAGAATATGACAGAGTAAGAGCTTTATCCTAAAGGAAGATCTTATCATAAGGAGTACCAACGTTATTTGAAAGACACAGGACATATGTGCTACTCCCCCAAAAAGAACCCATCTCCCCCCCCCCCCCCCCAAAAAAAAAAAAAATCAACTCAGAAATTATGAGCACTGCAGCAAAATTTAAATTAAATATTTGAGACCAGTGAAACTGGGAAAACGCAACCTTCAGGCACTAATTTTCAGCATCAAACAGGGCAGCAAGAGTAAACAGGGGACTGGGACTACCATAATGGCAAATTAACTGGTTTTACAGCCAGCAAAACAGGACCTTTTTAGAGTGGCAGAATTAGGTAATTATCCTGATGTGCAGATACACCTAACTCTACACAAAACTACATCTCAATGAGGTAAGAAACTTCTAGGAAATATCATTCCTCTGATTCCTTTTGATGGAAATGTTTCAGCAAGACAAAGTCCAAGAAGAACACTTCCATCATGTCTATATAAATACATGAAGCTCTTCCATTCCAGGCAGGGTGGTTACCTGACTAGAAGCTACAAAGTCCAATTTTTTTTGCATGTGCTGTTCTTTGTAACAAGCCAAATACTTAAGTAAGAGAAATCTGACAAAATGTAACCAGAGAATAATAATTTATGAGACTGTTTTGTGTTTAGAAATCCATTTTCTCTATTGCAAAGCAGGTGGAATGCTGACACTGGAAAACCTATGCACGATCCAGGTCTTATCTCACCATTAAAGGATCAGTGACGTAAACCAAACACTGCTTAACCTTCTTCTTCGAGATCCATATTTCTTGTAGAAGTATGCAGAAGGGCAGTATGTCTGCTGACTGCTGACTGCTCCTTCCATATAAAAGCCAGAAGCAATATTCCCTAGTATCCTTTAAGAACAAGCAGTGAATTTATCATATCTGTTTGCAATGCCCTTTGGGACCCTTCAGGAAGAAAGGCGCAGTAAATGTAAGCTCATTATCATCATTAACTCCTTTTATACACCAGCTGAGCTCAGAAGAAACAAATGGGAGAAAAATATAAGGGGGGGGGGGGGGGGGGGGGAAGGTAAAATATGTTTACCATTGTCCTCTTTTCCTGGTAGGTTTTGATGTGTTTTGTTTGTTGGGGTGTTTGTTTTTTTTTTTTTCATTCCTATTTTTATTAGAGAAAACTTATTATTTATTAGGAAGTCTTAAAATTAGCTTCATCATTTAACTCCATGAGATGACACATTGCTAAGGAAGAAGGAGAATAAAATGGCTTGACTTACATTAAGGGACGTTCAACACAGCAGTGCCTAACGTATTACACTTGTTCTCGTAAGCTTAGAAACACCTTAACCTTCCCACGATCACACCTCACCTACACATGGGAGAGAACAGTTTCAGGACAAGGAAAAGCTTTCTGTTTGTCCTGTTTGTGTGTTTTCTGGGTAACTGTCATGGCCAGGGGAATGGCACTACACTCAGGTGGGAACGGGAAAGGACTCACTAATTTTAGCCAGGGAAAGGTCACATTTTTCATCCAAAATCATTTTCTAAGCTCCTTCTAGGGTAGACGGTGTGTGAGCGGCACCTCCAGACAGCAATTTATACCACACACGTTGGACATTAATACCAGATAAATGACCTCAGGAAGGCGCTTTTTTCTCTCCGTCGTTGACAAGGTCAGCCTAGGGAGAACCTTCCTGTAAAGCCTTTCTGTAAAACCTTTCTGCCACCTACTGAATCCGTGCAACTGTGTTTTCACAAATAAACAATAACTAACAATTCATACGAAAGGATCCTTTAGACACGACAAGTTGATTCAACCCCATCGGGAAAAAGTGGTAGTAATCTTGCCTCTGTTATTGCATCTGATTATTTTTTTTTTTTAATGGATGCGATGTGTATTTTCTATTACTGTAGATGTGCATGGTTTTCTTTATTGATCATAAATACAAAAAAAGACAGGGCCCCAACCTGCAAGCGTTGTGTACATACTTGGTATCTCAAGAATTTAAAAACTAACACACAAGACAAGACTTTACAGAACTACAAGATCCATAATTCTGATTTCATAATTCTGATCCATAATTCTGATTTCAGTCCCTGAAACGAAGAGCACTGGTAGCTTTGACTAAATTTCTGATCTTTACTTCAAATGGGTTAAGTTGAGGGGGTGTGTGTGGGAAGAATGCTTCTCAAACTGCTTTATGGGAAAAGTTTAAAACTTTTAAAACCGTTGGGAATAAGCTACTCTAAAACTCTTAAAAATGGAAACAAGGGCGATAGAGGATCCTTAAGGCTACTTACAGTGAAATATTTATTGTATGCAACTCTGGTGAGCTAAGAAGTCACCTGAATTAAATAAAAATCAGAAACAAGGAGAAAGAGCTGCGAAGTTTATCTGACTGCACACAGGCAAGAAGCAAAACCACGCACAAATGTTTGAAAGAGGGAAGAAACGTCGAGCTGCTTCTCCAGGCACTGAAAACATCTGGAGACGCTTCTGAAGCTGCGAGGGAGATGCTTTGAACACCGTCTCCTTCAAGGGCATCCTTGTGCTTCATTCTGCGCCCTCATACGGGAACACCCCTTTCTCCCCCCAGCCGTGCCCTCTTCCCCCACCCCCCCCACCCCTCCCCAAGGTGCCCTCACGGGCTGGTAAACCTCTCTTCACCTTCCGCCCAGACGCCGGCAGGTTCCCCCCATCCCCTCTCACCCTCCGTTCCCATCGCCCGGGATTCCTACCGGGGTGCGAGATCTCCCCGCACCGGGGCAAGGCGCTTCCCTCGCCT